CTCCTATTATGACTGTATTGCTGTCTATCTCTCCCTTAAAATCCTCCAGGAGTTTTTTAATATATTTAGGTCCTCCTGTATTGGGTTCATATACATTTACCAGGGTTATATCCTCTTTAGTATTATGTAGTGATCTTCTTTGTCTCTTGTTATAGCCTTTGTTTTGAAGTCTATTTTGTCAGATATAAGTATTGCTAACCCCACTTTTTTTATTTGTTTCCATTTGCATGGAAAAAAATGTTCCGTCCTTTCACTTTCATATTATGTGAGTATTTTCTTCTGAGGTGGGTCTCTTGTAGGCAGCATATATATGAGTCACATTTTCTTATCCATTCAGCTACCCTATGTTTTTTGATTGGAGCATTCATTCTATTTACATTTAAGGTTATTATTGATAGGTACTTATATATTGCCATTTTAATTCTTGATGCCTATGTTCCTCTCTCTTTCTGTTTCTTCTTCTTCTTACAGCAGTCCCTTTAACATTTCCTTTTTGTTGTTGTTAATACTCACCCAAGGATATTTTTCCATGGATTTTTAGATAGAGTGGAAGGGAGAGAGGGAGAGAGAAACACACACCTCCTGCATGACCCCAACTGGGGTCAGGGATTGGACCTGCAATCCAGGTACTTGCCCTTAACTGGGAATCGAACCCATGACTTTTCAATCTGTGGGCTGACACTCTAACCACTGAACCAAACCAGCCAGGGCCCTTTAACATTTCTTGCAATGCTGGTTTGGTGGTAATAAACTCCTGTAACCCCCCCCCCCCCCCTTTTTTTGGTCTGGGAAGTTCTTTTTTAAAAAAAAAAGATATTTATTTATTTATTTTTATTGATTTTACAGAGAGAGGAAGGGAGAGGGAGAGAGATATAGAAACATTGATGAGCATGAACATCGACTAGCTGCCTCCTGCATGCCCCCCACTGGGGATTTGGCCTACAACCTGGGCATGTGTCCTGATGGGGAATCGAACCAGCGACCTCTTGGTGCATGGGTCGACACCCAGTCACTGAGCCACACCGGCTGGGCTGGGAACTTCTTTATTTCACCTTCAATTTTTAATGATAGCCTTACTGGATAGAGTAGTCTTGGTTTCAAATCCTTTCTTTTCATTACTTTGAATACTTAATGCCATTGCCTTCTGGCCTGTAGTGTTTCGGTTGACAACTCAGATGACAACCTTATAAAAGCTTCCTTGTAGGTAACTGTCTTTCTCTTGCTGCCTTTAAGATTCTCTCTTTGTCTTTAATATTTGCCATTTTAATTATGATGTGTTTTGGTGTGGGTCTCTTTGTGTTAATCTTGATTGGGACCCTCTGTGCTTCCTGTACTTGTGTGACTTTTTCCTTCACCGGGTGAAGAAAGTTTTTTGTCATTATCAGGTTCTCTATCATTTGCTTAGTCTATCCTCCTTCTGGTACCCCTATGATGTGGGTGTTGTTCCATTTCATATTGATAAACTCTCCTCATGCTTTTAAGTGGTTTGTTTGTTTATTTTCATTTTGCTGCTCAAGCCTGCTTTTAATTCATTCCAGTGTTGTTGTTTTTTTTTTTCAAATCTTTATTGTTGGATGTAAAATGTATTACAGATGTTCCACATTTTTCCCCCATTGACCCCCTCCTCCCCCTCCCGCCCCCCCCCCCCACCTTTTCCCACACTATTGTCTGTGTCCATTGGTTATGCATATAAGTTCTTTGGTTTATTTCTTCCCACCCCCCCAACCCCTTTCCCTTTGAGGTTTGTCAGTCTAGCAATGAATTTGTGCTTCTTAATCCCTTTACCTTTTTCACCCATTCCCCCAACCCCCCTCCCAGCTGGCAACCAACAAAATGTTCTCTGTATCTATGGGAATGTTTCTGTTCTACCTGTTCATTTTGTTTGTAGATTCCATTGTTGATAGATATGTATTCATTGCCATTTTGTTTGTTCATACTTTTTATCTTTTTCTTCAAAAAGACCCTTCATCATTTCATATAATAACGGTTTGGTAGTGATGAACTCCTTTAACTTTTTCTTGTCTGGGAAACTCTTTATATGTCCATCGATTCTAAATAACAGCTTTGCAGGATAGAGTAATTTTGGTTGTAGGTTCTTGGTTTTCATCACTCTGAATATTTCTTGCCACTCCTTTCTGGCCTGCAAAGTTTCTTTTGAGAAATCAGCTGACAGCCTAATGGGAACTCCCTTGTAGGTAACTAGCTGCCTTTCTCTTGCTGCTTTTAAGATTCTCTCTTTGTCTTGAACCTTTTGCATTTTGATGATGATGTGTCTTGGTGTGGGCCTCTTGGGGTTCATCTTGTTTGGGACTCTCTGTGCTTCCTGGACTTGTACATCTGTTTCCTTCACCAAGTTAGGAAAGTTTTCTGCCATTATTGTTTCAAACAGGTTTTCGATTTCTTGTTCTCTCTCTTCTCCTTCCGGCACCCCCAAGATGTGAATGTTGGCCCGCTTGAAGTTGTCCCAGAGGCTTCTTACACTATCCTCATTTTTTTGGATTCTTTTTTCTTTATGCTGTTCTGATTGGGCGTTTTTTGCTTCCTTATATTCCAAATTGATGGTTTGCTCCTTGGATTTACATACTCTATTATTGAAGCTGTGTAAATTACTCTTTATTTCAGTTAATGCCTCCTTCAATTCTAACTGTATCCATGATTTCTAACTGGTCCTTTTTAATGCTCTTGAGGCCCTCCCTAAGTTCACTGAGGTTCTCACTAAGTTCATTGAGCATCCTTATAAGCAGTATTTTGAACTCAGTATCTGTTAGGTTGCTTATCTCCATTTCGCTTAGTTCTTTTATTGGGGTTTTGTTCTGTTCTTTCATTTGGGACCTGTTTCTTTGTCTCCTCATTTTGGCTACCTCCCTGTGTTTGTTTCAGTGTATTACTTAATGAGAGGTATGGGGCTCGCTGAGACCAGATGCTGCTCGTTTGAAAGAATTTAGGAAAAACCCAAATCAGGATCCAAGACCGGCCAATCCTATGTTTGAGCAAGTGGCAACAGCTTGGGTGGGCCTGAAAGCTGGGTGGGGCGGGGCCTCAGGGAGTCAGCAGGGCGGGGCTACCAGTGTGAGCCAGGTTGTTGGAGTCCCAGATATGGAGACTGTCTGCCGCCCCAGGGAAGGGCTCACCAAGGGAACAAAGGCCTCTTACAGCACGTTTGTCCCAGAGAAAGTCCCCTCTCCAGCCCTCGCTCCAGTGCCAAACAGCTCAGTTCTTCCCTGTATGTCTCTGGTGCCCCTCGAGCTGCCTCCCCTCCAAGCTCAGAGGGAGAGAGTCCGATAAGTCCGTGCGCGGGCCCTTTAAGGAGCTGCCTGGGGCTCCAGCCAGGTCAGCTTTCCTGAGCCTCAGTTCCCGCTGGTTTTTCCAGCAAGAAGTTATGGGGATTCTCTTCCTGGCACTGGAACCCTGAGCGGGGCACCTGGTGTGGTACAGGGACCCCTCAGTCCTCAGGAAGGACCTTCCCAGCCGCGGGAGCCTCCTGATTTTTATTCACCACGCTTGGGTGTGGGACCAGCCCATCGCGCTGCCGCCGCCCCTCGCACCGCCGCCCCTCCTACCAGTCTGGATGTGGCTGCTGATTTAATTCCGTAGTTGTAGGACTTCCATTCAGCTTGATGTCAGGCGGTTTTGAATGATGGTTGTTCTGTAGTTTAGTTGTAACTTTGATGTGGTTGTGGGAGGACGCGATACCGCGTTTACCTACGCCGCCATCTTGACCGGAAGTCGTCCCAGTGTATTCTTGATGTCAGATATAATAGTCTTCATTTCTGACTGGTTCTTATTCATGGTTTCTATATTCCTTTCTCATGCTGATGTAGTTCACACTACGCTCCTTGTAGTTCCCATTAAGTTCCTTGTAGTTCTCAGTAAGTTCCTTGAGTATTCTTATAACCATTACTCTGAACTCTATATATTTGAAAGTTGCTTACTTCCATTTCATTTAGCACTTTTTCTGGAGAGTCCTGCTTTTCTTTCATTTGAGATTTGTTTCTCTGTCTCCCCCATTTTAGTTGTCTCTTTATGTTTGTTTCTAGTTATTAGATATAACTACTATGACTCCCAGTATTATTTGGGTAGCCTTTTGTAGTAAGTGTCCTGTGGGACGCAGAGGTATCATCTCCTTGAATTCTTGATCTGGATGTTCTAGCAGTGTCCCTTTTGTGGGATTTTTGGGCTCCCCTGTTGTAATTGGGTCTTGATTGTTGTCCTGTTCATCAGTGGGATCTTCTCTCACGCTGGCTGAATGTGAGGCTCAACACCAACCATATCATGCAAGCTGTTGTACAGGTGCAGTCTCAAAGTGGTTTCTGCCCTTTCTTGTTTAAAAGTCTCCTCTTTAGCCAGTCTTCAGCTGGCGATTCAGGGTGGATATTCCCCAATTTAGTTTTAATTCCAGTTTGATTCTGGGAGGAGATGTGAGAAAGATCCACCTACTTTGCCACCATGTTAAACCCCCTTTCTTTAAGTTTAAAGTCCTGCTCTTTTATTTTTTTTTATTTTTTTATTTTTTTTATCCTCACCCGAGGACATTTTTCCATTTTTTGTTCAGATAGAGTGGGAGGGAGGGAGAGGAAGAGAGAGAGAGAGAAACATCGACGTGGAAGGTACACATCGAGTGGCTGCCACCCGCACGACCAACCAGGGCCGGGGACAAACTGCAACCAAAGTACGTGCCCTTAGCGGGAACCGAACCCGGGTCTCTCTAGACTGCAGGCCTATGCTCTAACCACTGAGCAAACCGGCCAGGGCAAGTCCTGCTCTTTTAGAGTACTCCTAATAAAATGATGGTAGAAGCCCAACCAGGAACCAAACCTACCACCTTTTGGTGTACAGGATGACACTGCAACCAATGGACATAATGATTGTATTCTTAAAGTTGAAAATATAAGTAGGTATAATTATTTTTGTTGAACCTTACAACCCCCCTTCCCCTGCCATTTTTTTGACATATCAAAACCTTATATTAAAATTCATGGAATCATAGCATTTTTCCCCTAGGGGAGAATGTGAACACAGTCCTCCACTATCACAAATTATGCAGTCAAATTTCCCACATTTCGGTAAATCGCAAGGGTCAACACACCCAGAGTGCAATGGGTGAGCCTTGCCCTGGGAAAACCACCTTCCTGATCATGGTAGCTCCCCTGCCAGGTAAACATAGGAATAATAGCATTTTCTAACACATATTTTTCTTTATTGATTTTAGAGAGAGAAGAAGGGAGAGGGAGAGAGATAGAAATATTGATGAGAGAGAGCATCACTCAGCTGCCTCCTGCATGCTCCCACCTCCACTGGGGATCAGCCCACAGTCTGGGCTTGTGCCCTGACCAGGAATTGAACCAGCAACCTCCTGGTGTAGGGGTCGACAATCAACCACTGAGCCATACCAGCTGGGAAGGAATAATAGCATTTTTTAACAGAAATAGAACTTTGAGATTTTTTTGGACTGCTTCCCACATTTCATATGCGGAATCTTGTACAGAAAAGAGAAAGGAACATTTCTTAGTCTTTGGAGCCAGACAGATTTGGATCAGGTTTAGTCCTGGGCAATAGTGATATACTCAAGAGTACAGCTTGTAAGAGCACTGGCCCTCCTGGAATTTGACTTCATGGGAGTGAATCTTGACTGTATATACTTATTAATTTGCCAGTTGTGTGACCTTGAGAAATTACTAAGCCTTCCTGTGTTCCACTTCATAGGGTGTATGTAATATTTGAAAATGTATGTAAAGCACTAAACATGTCATTAGTAGGTAATAGCTATGTAGTCTTCAAATTCATCTTGGGCCTCAGTTTCCTCATCTGTAAAAATGGAGATAGTACCCATCTTGCTGGGAATTTGGAATATAAATAAAATTTCTAGTATGTTAGTAGGCATTCCATAAATCATAGTAACAGTGGGAGTCAAATTATTCAAGAAAAGCCAGAACTTCTATTTCAATTCATATTACTGTGGAAGCTGAGTAATACATTTCTGTAGCGCCCTTTTATTTAATCAGTCCACCTTAAAGCACACACTCACACACTAATTTCCTCAGGAAGGTAAGTCTTCCTTGACCATATTATCTAGTGCACCTCCTGGTTACTCTCTGTTGTTATCGATTTATTTCTTTTACAATATGTACAATAATCTAAAATTTTTATTATTATTTCCTCTTTGACTTTGTGGCTCTTCTTCATAGTGCCCTAAAGATGTTCAATAAATATTTTGTGAATGGTTGAATAATAAAAGCATATCATAAACTTACTGGAAAAAAGACATTTATCAGCTTTTCTCTAATACAGAGTTTCTCAACCTTGGCATTGTTGACATATTAAGCCAGGTAATTATTTTGTGGGGCACTGCCCTGTGCATTGTAGGATGTTTAGCATCCTTCTAAGTGTCTATCCACTAGGTGCATATAGCAGAAAAAAAAAATGTCCTCTGATTGAGAACCACTGCTATAATATCTACAAGATTTTGTTTGAACTTAACTGGCACGAAAAGGGCATAATCTGAGGTCACATTTTTGAAATAAAATAGAGTAATGTTTGATTTCTGAACCACAGAGGCTAAGAGGTGACCTTGGTATGAATGAGTCAGACGGTTCCAGCCTGTCTTCCACCTGATTGGTGGGGAGGGCTGGGTGGTCTGTCTCCCGTTCAGCTGCAGGACAGGCTTGCTGTTGTGCATATGTGCCCTGCCCATTCCACGGAGTTAATTTCAACTGCGGTTGAGAAGTGTTTTTATGATTATAAATTTTATGATTATAAATTATTTCCTTCCTTACTCATCGCTTTTCTTTGCCTTCATTTCCTTATTTAGGAACTAACAATTAGAATACCTGCAGTTACTGAAAATTATTGAGTAACTCTTACATTTATGGTCACATTACCAATTCTATTACAGTAGAAGAAGTAAAGAAATTTATTATTTGGATAACCAGGATCATTGTTGCCCTATATAATATTCTAATTTTTCACACTGATAACAAAATTTATATTCCAGAAATTGATTCCTCTTCTTCTTTCTTTCTTTCTTTCTTTCTTTCTTTCTTTCTTTCTTTCTTTCTTTCTTTCTTTCTTTCTTTCTTTCTTTTGTTGTTAATTCTCACTCGAGGATATTTTTTCCATTGATTTTTGGAGACGGAGGAAAGGAGAGGGGAGAGAGAGAGAAACATTGATGAGAAAGAGACACATCAATTGGTTGCTTCCCACATGCACCTTGTCTGAGCTGAGCATCAAACCTGCAACCTAGGTGTGTGCCCTTGACTGGGAATTAAACTTGCGACCCTTTGGTCCATGTCCAAGACTCTGACAGCTGAGCAAACCAGCCGGGGCCTTTTCTTTGTTTCATCAGTACCTGTGAGAAAGGGCGAAAGAGTTAGTGTCCTGTGTCTTATCTATTTTGAACTATAATCAGGTAAATTAAAGTCTTTATACATAAAAATGAGCCATTTCCATACAGACTCTTTGAATGTGTCCTGTTGAAAGGAGGTGCCTTCATTTTAGGGAGGCGGGGTAAGTACCCAATTGTTGGTGTATTTTTTGTCAGATTCTGAAACCAGGGTATTTCTGAGCTCCAGAGATGTTAGCATTATTATAGATGCTATCCTTGGGTGGCACCTTGAATTCTTGGCACCGAATTGGTTAGTGATCCACAGAGGAGCGTGGAAGTGGTAGAATAAAGAACATATTCAGGATTCGTTTTTATTGGGGAAGCTGGACTGATCTTGCCACAGGTGTGCCAAGTGATGAAATCCTCCCTGTAGAAAGTTCAAGGGAGCTGGCTACCAGCTTGCAAAGTTAACTCTTGGCAAAAATGGATATAATCACCGAGGTCAGTTGTCTGATAGCGGGCAGTTAGAGTGATGTGGGAAAGAGACAGGAGAACTAAGAGTCATGCAAATTGAAGTTGCTTTATTTAATTCCCCAACGTAAAACAGCAACAAGGGATCTTCTTGCTGATTCTGAATGACGAGTCACTCCAGAATCACTGCTCGTGCCTTCCAGCTGCGGTCCCCTCCCGCAGACACGGTGCAGGGTGTGTCAGGAGCAGTGGAGAGGCCGCCCTCCAACCGCAGAGAGGGGAGAGCACCGTGACTGGGGGGCAGCCGATGCTGCCGATGAACCAACTATTGAAATTGGGAAATGTCAAGTCTGTCTTTCCTGAGGAAGTTTGTAAATGGATATCTTTCATTATAAAAGGATACATTCGCCCTGGCCAGTTTGGCTCAGCGGTTGGAGCGTCGGCCCGTGGACCAGAGGGTCCCGGGTTCAGTTCCTGTTAAGGGCACGTACCTCGGTTGCAGTTTGTCCCCGGCCCCCGTTGGGGTCATGTGGGTGGTGACCAGTCGATGTGTCTCTCATGTCGATGTTTCTCTCTCTCTCTTCCCCCCTCTGTCCCTTCTGCTCTATCTGAAGATAAATGCAAAAAAAAAAGTCTTCAGGTGAGGATAAAAAAAAAGGGTACATTCCACAAACATGGTATTGTACTTTATGCTCGCAAAGGCTCTCTTCTGACAAGTTCATTTATCAACCCTTGTTACTTTTTGATAATGGTATAAACTTTTCACCTTTGTTTCTGAAGGGAGGGAGCAGGGTCAGCCCCGGAGGAAAAGTCAGGAAAGTCTGGCTTGAGCTCCTGAGCTGCCTTTCTAGGCCTGTCTCCAGCCTCCTCATTCCCTCTTGGGTGTGTCTCCTAGAGGTCCCAGAACGCGAACCCAGTGCCCCTGTGCCAAGGTGTTTAAGCAGTACATACATGTTCTGTCCCTGCTTGCCTTCTCTCTGCCTTCCCAGGCCAGAGCCGCCTAACCGACCAAAGACTGCCCCCACCGTCTTGGAGCTTCAGCTAGCTGCAAGGCAATGACCAGGTGCCCTCCGGCCTAGAACAAACCGCGGCCGGCTGTTTGCTCTGTGGTCCTGCACTGGCCTGGCCTGTTCTACAGGGTGGACACACCCGACGGAGGAGGGAGTAGTAGGATTTTTACCCTTGAGGGCAGTGATGAGAGAGCAGACCTGATTTGTTTTTTGAGAGTACAGGAAACCCCGCTCTTACTGCTGTGACCTATGACATGTCCTGGAGGGTCTCCTCTGTCCTTGAACAGAACCACCATTCTTCCTGGGGCAAAGTGAAGTGTGCCTGTGAGAGGGATATGGGATGTTGGCAGGGATGGGGAGGGGACTGCAGTATTGAGGAGCCTTGGGCTGTTTCCAAGGCGGGTTCTAAGGACCTTGTTGACTTTCTTCAATAGCAGTGCATCTTCAGGACCTCAACTGTGCTAAAATAAAGCCAAGATGGCCGAATCATTGTGCTTTTCAATAGAGCCTCACCGATTGCATGATTAAAATGCCTCTTAGCCTTCGGCTTGCAATACTTTCTAACCAGTGCACTATGCACTCTGCTGAGTAGCCCGGCTTCACCTATGATGGATGGGATCACCCATCTGGCTTGGGGATATGATGCATGGACCCTGCAAGGTTCTGGGCCAGCCAGTAGGCTGCGGGTTCTGTGGTAGTGAGAGGGACAGACAACATACTGGACTCTGTGTCCCCAGAGTCGGATGGATCTGGGCGCAACTCCTGGCATTACAACCTCTGGTGCAACGACCGAACCTCTCTGAAGTCTTACTGCACTGTGGTGGAGTGGGGGCAATGAATTAAATAGTGTGGCAGAGAGTAAGTGCCTGCCGTAGAAGGGGAGCACAGTCCGGGGCAGTATGGTTGTCATTGCCTTGACTGATCTCCTAGCCACCTAAGATACCAGCTCTCTTCATTCCTGTAACCCTCTCCCCGTAACACGACCGCCCTGTGGGCTTGTCCTCGCCTTCAGTGTGCTGCTCAGAGGGCTGCTCGGATCATCAGCATCACAGACTTTAAAAAGTTAGATCCAGATGTGCTAATGTCCTTGCAGAGAATTCAAAATCAGAGAATCCAGTTTTGTAGCAGGGAGGTTAAAACACCTCATTTCTGTTGTGAGAGATTCTTAAACTGTTCTGCAGATTTTTACCTTGTCACTGTCCTGGAGAGACTGGCTTGACTTCACCTTTATTTCTGTTACATTTTTCTTAAAGCCCTTTTTTCAGTGTCATTTTATACCATTTTATTTCTGTTTAGTGGATTACTATAGTGATACCAGTACATTTTTTTTTTATCCTCACCCGAGGACAGTTTTTGCATT